CGCGCCCGTCGGCGATAGTATTGGCCTCCTCCTCCTCCTCCTCCTCCTCCTCCTCCTCCTCCTCCTTCCTCCTCCCTCCTCCCTCCTCCCTCCTCCCTCCTCCCTCCTCCCTCCTCCCTCCTCTCCTCCTCCTCCCTCCTCCTCCTCCTCCTCCCTCCTCCCTCTCCTCCTCCTCCTCCTCCTCCTCCTCGTCCTCCTCCTCCTCCTCCTCCTCCTCCTCCTCCTCCTCCTCCTGCTTCTTCTATTCTCTGTGAGCAAGCTCCTGCTGTCTCCGCAGCTTCTCTGCCCAGGGCGCCCCCCCATCGGCCGCGCGTGCGGGCGCCTTATGCAGGCGGTCGTACAAGCGGCTCTCGGGGGCGCTGGGGAGATCTTCTTCAGGGGGCTGCGGGCCGCGCTCTACGAGCGGCTCGTGGCTGCCCCCTTCTCTGTACTCCAGGACCAAGGGCCTCCTGTGCCTGCTTGGTCCATCCAGCAGGCGGACTCGTCTGAGGGCGAGGGGGCTTTCTGCCCCCTCCCCTCGGCGGGTTCTGCCTGCCCCACCGTCTGCCTCGGGCTGGCGGTGGATCTGAGCGGCGGGGTCTCTCCCTGGCTGCTCAGCACGGTCGTCGCCCTTCTCTGGGCGACGGCCGCGTGCAGCGCCTGCGCAGGCTGCTGCTTCGGGCTGTGGGGCCCGTACGTGGGGCGGAGGCTCAGGGCTTCCGCCTGGCCGCGCGGTGCTGGTCCTGCTTCGCTGGAGCAGGACCGCCGCGCGGCGCGAGCGCTGGCCTACGGGGTTCCGCCTCGGCCCCGAGCGCTCGAGCGGGCTGACGCCCAGCATTCGGGCGCCAGCTCCCACAGCAGCGCCCATTGATGGCTGAGCTGCCACCAGTTGGCGGAGGGCCTCTCTGGCCCGAGCTCTACCCATTCGCAGCTCCCACGGCTCGCGACTACGCACGATGGCGCCTAGACGAAGGCGACACCAGCTGGGCAGCTATCCCCCTCGCGTCTCGGGAAGGGGGCATACTTCTGGCCCTGCCTGGCGCCTTTCGCTCTTCGGCGGAGCTCGAGGCTGCCGAGGCGGGTGGCTTTACGGGAATGCTAGGCCCTTTTCAGCTGGTGGACATCCAGCTCCTGGGTGCCGCTTCACGGCCGCTCGCCACTACCGCATCCGTCCTCGTCATAGATATCGAGGTTGCAGAGCTCGAGCTCGAGTCGCTTTACCCTCTGGAAGTCGGCGCGGACGCTGGCATCGTTCCCTTCGCCGAGGTGCGCGGCCGCGTCTACTGGCCACATCCTTCGGGGGTTCGGGTGCTTCGCGAGGGCTACGCACGCTTGCACGGCGCTCCTCCTACCGCAGGGGAAGAGCCGCTCCCAGGGGCCGATCGAGCTACTCTCTATCAATCCGCCGACGAGATGGAGGAGCCCGAGGGGTTCGCGGCCGATGGGGAAGCCGACCGCACGGTCCCAAGTGCGCGGTCCCCTGCGGACGCTGGAGTCCCACGCGGCCTACCCGCGAAGCGCGCAGCCACCGCCGTGCCGCCCAGGGTCGCGGGTCCCACTCCGATCGCTCCTGGCGCTCCCGCGGCGTCCCTGGACGACGGGGCCCCTATGACCCGTGCCGAAGTAGCTGCCGAAATGCGCGCCTTGCTTGCAGCTCACGGGGCCTCCCCGATGGTCGGCGGCCCCGAGCCGCTGGGCTTCGCTCCAGCTGCCCGGGGCGAACGGCCCGAGGTGCCCCAACTTTTCAGCGACGAAGCGGTGCGCCTCGGGCTGGATCCTGCGGGGATCGAGGCCGTCCTGTCCCACGCGCCCGTGGCCCCACAGCGGGTCTCCGCACGTCCCAAGGGCCCGACCTCCGCGCTGGTCGCGGCGTGGGAAAAGGCGCGCTCTCTTGCTGTTCCTCGAGCCCCTACCTCGGGCCTCGGAACGATGGGTCCCCCGCCGCCACCTGGGCTAGCCCATCCCGCTGTGGCCGACGGCTTTGCCGAGGCGGGCGGCGCCGACGGGTCAGAGCTCCCCCATGCAGCCAATCAGACGGACTTCAGCCTCATGCTACAGTGTCTGCACCAGTCCCTCCTATTGCAGCAGGGGCGGGGCCATCGGCCCACCGTCCACCCGCTTCTGGGGACTCTGAGCGACTCTGCTCAATCTCCGCCCACGAGCTCGGGCGATCCCGCGCCCGCGTCGGCCCCGATGGGGGGCATTGCTCGGAGGCGCGAGTGGCAGCAAGCGCTGATACAGCACGGCCCCGACGTGCGAGGACTGATGAAGGAGAATTTGGCCCGCGTCCTGGGCGTGGAAGTCAGCGCCGTGACCCCCATGGCCATGCACCAGTATTTTCGGGAGCACAGTCCTTTGGGGGCTCAGCCGACGACGCACGAGTTGTTGACGCATTTCGCCTTCCTCAGCGCCGAGCTGTGGCGGGCCTGCGAGGAGGGGAACCCCGAGAGAGTCCAGACGCTACTGACGTGTCAGTGCATGTTCATCGACCAGCTGGCGGGGGACCGCGGCTATCTCGAGGCCGCATGGTTCCTCACGGGGCTGGAGCCTCCCCCGTGTCGCGTGACCAGTCGTCACACGGAGCGCGAGGCCCAGGCCCCGTTCTCCCCCCTGGTGGATCCTCGCTGGCTATCGGCGCAGGGCGAATATGTAAAGGAGCTGCAAGCATTTCGGGCGCGTCTCGACGCCGAGCGCGCCGTCGCGCTCCCCAAGCATCCGCCTCAGCAGCCCAAGCAGCCCAAGGTCTCGAAGGCCCCCTTCAAGTCCCAGGGTGCTCCCAAGGCACCGAAGGCTGCGCCCAAGAGGGACTGAAGGCGCCATCGGCGCCCGTCTCCTGGAAGGGTAGGCCCTCTCGGGGCCGAGGTACGCCACCGCGCACCGTCGGCACCGACGCTGTTGCGGCTGCTAGGCGCATTTGGGCGCAGCGAGGGCGTGAGGGTAGGAATGCGCTCTTCCAGCGATGCTGTTGCGGCCCCGCAGGGAGGAGTACGTTCCGCCACCACGCCCTTCGCTCCGCTCCGAATCGCCTCTCGGTTCCCTTCGGCCATTTTGGCCGACGCCTGCCTCAGTCGAGCGCGCCCTCCAGAGGGCCTGCTGCCCCTGAGGTCGGGGTCCCTGCTGGTGCCTGTTCTCTTTCGGGCACCCCTGCTGCTCTTGCCAAAGTCGCGCCATTCGTCGCTGACTTGTCTGCCTTGCTGCGCCTGTTTCCAGGCGCGAACATTGATATCACCCACTGGGCGGCTGCGTTGTCCCAGGTCGGGATGGGTGCTCGATGTTCTCTTGGTTCTTTCTCCCGCTCATCTATGCGTGCAATGGATAGGGACGACCCGTACCTTTTGGGGCCGTTTCCCCGCGATCCTTGGCCGTGCCCGCCTGCTCCATCTCTTGGTCCCCCGCCTGACGGCTTGTCGGCGAGGCGCAGGGAGCGCTGGAGAGTGCGGCGCGCGGCGCGGACGCTCGCGCAGTATTCTGTTATTGCGCTGAACTGGCTCACCTTGGGTCATCCTAGCCTCGCTCCCGCCGAGGCTCGCGTCCGCGCCACGGTCTCGCCCTGCCAGGATGGCGTCCGCACCCGTATAGAACGGTTGTGTCGGATCGCAGTTCGCCTCGCCCGTGGCGGCAAGAGCGACTTAGGTCGAGCCTTCGCTAAGTTCGACTCCACTGAGGTCTCGCTCCATGGCCTGGCCACCCATGTTGCAGCTTTGGAGGCCTCCTTCACTTCTTCCTCTTCCGTACCCGCCCCCATGCGGCACTGCCCGACCAGCGCCCCTCCTGTGCCTGGTTCGTTGGCGTCTGCGGCGGCCTGGGACTCCACCCAAGCCGAGCCCTTCGATTTGAAAGTCAGGGCGTCTCGCATCAAGTGGGATTATTCACCTGAGTTTGATCCCGTTCCATTCCTCTCCGACGCTCGAGTCCGCGAAGCTTTCATTGATCCTGAGGTGATGCGGCTACCGGCGTCAGAGTGGCCTGCTGGCCAAAAGGGGGCGCGCGTCCACATGGACCGCGCCGAGCTGTGGGCCCTGCTCCAGAAGTGGGATGCTTGCGGCGCCCTGTACCTGACTCCTGCTTCGGACCTCGCTTGGGATGAAGCCTGTGGAGCTTTCAGGGTGCCGAAGGACAGCGATTTCGACAGACTGATCTTGAACCCAACGGTCGTGAACAGCCGCTGTGCCTCAATTTCGTCCAGCACCCAGCGCCTTGGCCAGGGTTTTCTGCTTTGCCGTTTGGGGCTGGCACCTGGGGAATGGCTGGCAGTTTCTTGTGACGACCTACGGGAGTTCTACTACACCTTCCGCGTCCCTCCCGCGCGCGCCAGGCGCAACGCCCTGCGCGTTCGTCTGCCATCCTCTCGCTTCAAGGCCTTTCGAGCCTGGCGCCCTGAGCTTGAGGGCGTGGACGTCGCGCCCTGCCTCAATGCTCTGGCGATGGGCGACAACATGGCTGTGGAGATTGCCAACTCTGCGCATGAAGGCGTCTTGCACAGCTTCGGGGCTTTGCGGCCTCACGAGCAGGTTGTCCACCGCTCGCCGTTCCCGCGGGGCCCGTTTGTCGAGATGCTAAATATTGATGACCACACAGGTTTTCAGAAGCTCTCGTGGCGTGGCTCCGCTCCTCGCCCCGACGACCCGCGTCGCCGTGATCGCGAGGTCTTCGCCGCCTGTGATGCGGGCTACCCGCGCGTGGGCCTGATACAGCATCCAGGCAAGCGCGCGCGGGGCGAAACGCACAAGGTTGTGGTGGGCGCCGAGGTGGAGGGGCGCATAGGCATCGTCTGCGCTCCTCTCGTGCGGACGGTGGCCTTGTGCAGGCTCACCCTGATCCAGATCTACCTCGGGATCACCACACGCTCCCTGCTTGCCTCTCTTGTGGGCTGCTGGGTCCAGGTCTTTCTCTATCGCCGCCCGATGCTCGCCATCTTTACGCACGTCTACAACTTCCTGTCGCGCCTTGCGACCGAGGAGGGTATCGAATACGACCTGCCCCCTTATGTTCGC